CCTGTAAATTTTCAGGAAAGGGGTGAATTTATTATTTTTTTTTTTTTATGTACAACCAAAGACATGGGATGTCACTGTTGCCATAGAAATGACTTTCCTTTGCTAGTGGAGGGAAGTGGGTGTCCCGTTCTCATTTATACCCCCCACCTTGAATCAAGGTGCCCTCCACAGCCGTGTATGTCACTTTATTGGTAGTGACACTTGATAGTGAGGTGGTAGTGCATAGGTGGCTGTTTGGGACTGCAAAGGTCTTGAAAAGGAAGTGACTGAAAACATTGGGAGCCAGTGAGGGAAAGCAACGGACCTAGAACCGGACCGCGGGGCCCGGAAGGAGCGGCAGTTTGCTCCAGTTCTGGGGAAAATCGACCCAAACCCAGAAAACTGGGAAACGAATCTGTCAGGAAAATAATGTGCAGACAGAAACGGGAATGATTCACTTCGCGTTTACATTTCAAAACTTCATCCGAATCCAAACCGCTTGAAGCCTCAGAGTTCCGTTCCGGTTCTGAAAAGGTTTGGTTTGACCTGGAGCCGTAACTACAATGCAGTGTTTTTTGTTTGTCTTTTTTTTTTTAGGCCCGAGCAGCAAAGCGCTGCGAAGGCCTATTGTATTTCGAAAGTTTCTTATTTTTTTTTTTTTTATTTTTTTTTTGGACTAAAAAGGAAAAAAATTCAAATGCCATTAGATAATTGTAATCTGCTTTACACTTTATCTTTTTACAACAAAATGGAGTTTCAGGTTGTGAGATGGAAAAACATGTTAACGGTTGAGGTGATATAGATCCTATTAAGTTCTGTCCCTTTAAATCTATGAAAATGAATCTAGCAATGAAATTTCAAATTCGTTTTGATTTGGATGTTTCACTTTAGCAAACAAATCTTGGGCAGGTTTGCATTGCTTCATTTACATGAATATGTTGCTTGGAGTTAAAATCAAGGCATTTTTGCTGCACTCTTTTGTTTATAAAAGAGTAAACTCAACCCTTTATATGAGGCTTCTCATCTTCCTCAGTAAAAAATAGAACACACGACTAACTGTCCCATTTCCTCCTCTAGGTATGTTCTACAACTACTACCACCATTACGACTACACCTACCTCACCTGTGGAATCATCCTCATCGTGTCCAGCGTCTTCCTGTTTGTCGGAATGGGCATCAACTACCGCCTCCTGGACAAGGAGAAGAAGGAAGAGGAGAGGAAGGAGCGGGAGGAGCCTAAAGAGGAACGCACCGCCATGTTGGAAGCTACCCCACAGACCAAATCCGAAGAAGCTGCGGCCAATAACGACTCTGGCGCTGTCACAATGGCTGACGTCGCCAAGATGGACGAGGACACCGTGTAAAGCTGGCGGACGGACTAAAGGAACGCGTGCACAAACACACGAGCAGCAGTCACAGCCACGCACAACCCTTCACAACCCTGAGGCCATAGCAACATTTTATTTTTCTCTGTAAAGTACGGAGGCAGCGCCTCGACTCGCTCGGGTCGCTGTTGCTCAACGGTTCGAAGCACACGTACATTTATTTTGTACATGAGCACGAATGGACTGAAACGGTAAACAAACGAGGACTTTCTCTCAGGGTCTGGAGCTGCTGCAAACATTCAGAACTTACACACTGCTCTCTGTAACCCCGCCCCCCAGATGGAGTACAGACTGAATGAGCCCATTTATTTTACTAACTGCTTCACTGTAAGGGCTATATGTAAACCAGCCCACTTCGTGTTATTTTAGGGACGTATATCTATTAGCTGTGAGCCTTGATGCTGCAGAACACATAGGAGGGTGATCTAAAGTACTAACACGGGGAGTAGGTGCTGATGTGTTTTAACCCTTGTTTTTTTTGTTTTGTTTTTTTTACACGGACTATGATACAGACAGACATGTCCCCTAGGATGGTATCTAGTTATTTTTATATGAAATCTTCCAGAGAGCGGTTCATCCTGTGACTTTAGGATGACAAAAAAACCACCCGGCCTCTTCTACCCAACTGATTTCACCACCGTCTGCCTGCAGGTCGACTCACCAGTGTTCACCAGTTTGGAGCACCTTATTGTGAACGGTTTTATCAGACGCGTTGGCACAATTTAGTGATTACATCATAAATTAACCTAGCTTATTGAATTATTCATTTGAATTTTTAATGACTATCCTGATGTAACTGTAGTTTTAATAAATTTTAATGTATTTAGTGTAGTTTTTGTTTAATAAGCCAGGTTTTATCATTTCAGCCACTGCAGCCTCATCTGGAAGCTAAACAAAGGGTCATATCGTACATATTTTTATAAAAAGGGAGAAACTCTCAGGCTGCCATTTCAGGACAGTTATAACCCAGAGCAGAGGGATCAGATCAGGGGTGCATTTGTTTTTTTTTTTTTTGTTTTTTTCCTACATTTAGCTTTTAAAGGTGAAACACTACTGCTTTGGTCCATAGCCCTAGCTCCTCCTTTTAATCGTACACGACCAAATGTAAGATGTCAAACGGTTTTGGGCTCTAACTGTACTAATTGGAAGCTGTTTGGGTTTTCTTTCTGTTCGTTTTGACTTTTATCCACATGATTGATTCTGACCCACATCTCTCCAGCTTCATGGACTGGTTTCTGCTTCAGAGAGGCCTGCTAAGTGTACACATTCCTCTGCTCTCAGCCCACATTTTCCTTCAATCACAGCAGACAGAAATTATTTTTATAGAAAACGAGATGCTGAAACCACAGAAAAAAAGTTTAACATGTTTTTATTTCCTTTGCTAAATGGTACTGTATTTGGCCACAGCACCTTTTTTTTTTTTTTTGCCTTGTTTCAAAATGAACAAATGTTACGTTTCTGGAAAATGAGTTGTCAATTGCAGTGAGTTTGTTGTGTTTTTGGCTGTTCAATAATAAATGGCTTTTATGACCTCAAAAGACCTTATTTATTCTCTTTAATAAGCCTTAATTTTTATCAGTATGAAAACAAAATACTTGTAGCTTCTTGAGCTACTTTTTTTGTTTTGTTTTCAGTGCCTCTCTGGGACTAAAGGGTAAATTGGTCATGACTATACTGCCCAGTACGGAAGAGGATTAGGGCCACTGGAAAAAAAAAAAAAAGTAAACTGATTTTAAAATTTTATTTCAGTTTAACATGGGGAAAAAAGTCAGAATTCTGACTTTAATCTCAGAATTCTGAGATTAAAGTCAGAATTCTGACTTTTTTCCCATACTATACTGAAATAAAATTGAAAAAATCAGTTAACTTTTTTTTTTTTTCCAGTGGCCCTAATCCTCTTCCGTAGCCCAGTGTAAGGCTATAGGGTGGAAAATTAATAATTTCTAGGTCCTCAGTATTAAACTATGTTGGTGGAGGTTGGGCTTCTGGCCTAGTCCTGTTTTTTAAATCTATAAACTGAATCCATGGGAGTTGCATGGTCCTTACATGAAGCAAAGTGTATCAGACCAAACAAAAAAAAAAAGCTTAAATGTTTTAATTCATTCTAAAATTCTTTTTCCATCATTGAATCACTGCTAAACTTTGTTAAAACTATCAATCCAGTTAAAATATGTTGGCACTGATTCTACTTCCATTAACATTTACCTTAGCTCTGCTCAGTTCTGGGGATTGCATTCCAAAACCTAAATATTGGCCTTCATTTTAAGCCTCATCTTAAAGTCTTTAGGTTTTGTCTTGCTGGAACCAAAACATTCATAAAATGCATGCCTCATCCATGTGTTTCCATTGCATAATAACATTCTACGGCATGCAATCTGTGTTTTCAGATTGAGGGGAAAGATTAAGGATTTTGACCATACTGAACTATGCTTGCAGCTGGAGGAAAGCAGACAGCCTTGAACTGGTATGAAATTTCTCTGTTTAACAAATTAGGTGAAATAGAGCAGCTAACTTTGAATTTATAACCTAAAATCAGCAGCTTAGCAGTTAGAACGGTGATCCCTAGACATCCTAAGGATTGTCTCACCCACCTGCACGTTCATCAAGCTTCTAGAGCAGGGATGTCCAACTTCAAACCTCGGGACCTGTTGTCCTGCACGTTTTGGACGTGTCCTAGATACTTTCTAGAATTGCATTCCTCACAGTGGCAGCACGTTGGAGTAACTTGGCTCGGCAATATTCTCTGAAGAACATCAGCACCTCTGATGGTGGATCAAAGTATCTTTTTCTCTTTTTTTATTTTTTTATTTTACATCTCTGTGTGAGAGTCTGTGCAGCTGAGAGGATTTTGGCCCATTTTTTTATTTTGAGGTGTATACATACCGTGCTGACACCCAAGAGGAGTTTAACATTTCAAAAGCTTAAATACTTATGCTAGTCCCATCTGAGTAGATGAGGTACAGCGGACGTTCAAGCCATCAATCAACATGAACAGTGAGAGTGATGTCGAAGGCCTAATGCCTTGTCCCCATACTAAATAAATCTCAACCAACAGTCCTCAGTGACTATAGACTAGTTGATCTGACATCCCTGATCATGAGATCCTAGAGAGACTTCTGTTGGTTGAGCAAGGAAATGCATTTAAAATAAGCCATCTTTATCAATTCCAAGAGGAGATTAAAATGCTGTAGTAATCAGCTTCTTTGTAATCAGATGCTGTAGATGTTAATTGCTGCAGGCAGGAAGAATCTTCTGTAGCGATCTGTCTTCTACCAGATTCTGAGAAGTCTGACTGAAGACACTCTGTTGGTGTTTAACAGTCCCCTAAAGAGGATGCTGATTGCCCACAAATGTTCTTAATGAAATGATCTCCAGAGGTACCTTCTTATTTCATGATATATTTGCTCTCTATTTACCTTGGTGTTCTGCTACCCTTAAGCCAGCATGAACAGCTCATTAAACTTTGCAAACTCTACATTGCAAAATTATATTTTGTCCAGTATTTGATTTAGACAGGTCAGTGGTTTTTAAAGGCAAGTATTTTACTTTTTTATTAAAGTCTCAAACTGAACATCCTTCAACAACCATTTGCAGGTTACATTTATGCTTTTTTTTATCTTTGCATGTACAAGCGATTTGACTATTCCTTTGATAACAGACTTGCTGATGAGCAACGGTTTGTCGGGTCATCAGGAGTTGGAGGTATGTGTCGCTGTGGAGTCATTTGGGACAGAGCTTTGTCTATGCGACGGCGTCCGACAGAGCAGCAGCAGACGGATCTCCGAAGAGACGCTGCTGGAGAAGGCGGAGTAGATCCAGGGGTTGGTGCACGAGTTCAGGCTGGCCAAGAGCATCAGCAGCGTGAACGCTGTACCTGTAAACACACCCAGGTAGAAGAAGAAGGCCTTTGCAGGTGTCTATAAATAAATGCACTTCATTTGTTTGGATCAGTGTGAGTAGTTCTATGTAAGCATGCAGCCATTTAACAAAATTCAAAGATGGGAACCCCTGAGAAATAGTATTTGAGATACCAGAGAATAACTATTGTTTCCCATCAATCAGAATGCCTAAGATATTTCACAAGTAGAAAAAAAGAGGGTCTGTTTTTCAAAAAATGCATACTCATACTTTATAAGGTTTTTCTCAACATAAACAATGTTTGAACTGATAGTTTTGGTATCAACTTAAAAGAAAAGTCCTGCTGGATGATGTTGGATTTGAACATTTAAGATTACATAATTCTGGGCCTGAGTAAATGGGATTTAAATGCCCAAAAATATAATTCCCAGGAAAGCATATTTAAATAAGGAAAAAATCTCAAATCTTAACATCTGAGTAACATCTGCTGCTAGTTGCATCCACACAAGCCAGAAGCTTCCTCTTGGATACCACTGGCATCAGTTATAGTAGCAGGAGAATTAATTGAACAAACATAGTATCTTCATGGAGCGGTTGGAGGTTAAAGCCTTCTGAATTTCAAGGTTTATCAGCAAACACTTGTTATTGTCAAGCGTGGAGGGGAGTGGTATTGAATTGTGCTTACTGACCATGGCGCCATCTGTCTCTTGGCCGAAGCTTTGCTCAAACAAGGTCTTCAACAGGATCCAAATCTTTGCTGTAAATTTACAACTGAATTAATCCTAGGTACTGGAGGTACTGTAGTTAACAATGGGACCTTAAAGGGGAACACTGTTTTTTTTTTTTACATTGGTCCCTTGATTTTAAATTATAACATCATGTTCTACTCATCCATATTAGTTTTGTGTCATTTGGAGCCATTCTGAAGATATTCAGTTAGGTCAGGCATCCCCAACCTCGGCCCTCGAGGCCCGCTGTCCTGCAGGTTTTAGAGGTTTTCTTGCTCAAGCACAGCTGATTTTAATTGAAAGTTGATTAACAGGCTGTTGGTCTACTGCAATCATTATAATCAGCTGTGCTAAAGCAGGGAAACCTCTAAAACCTGCAGGACAGCGGGCCTTGAGGAGCGAGGCTGGGGATGCCTGGGTTAGGTTATATGCAAGTAACGTTTTCCAATGGGCAACAACTTGAAGGCACAAACTAAACTGTTCATAATGTATTCTGTATGGTACGCCAGCATTCATAGCATGTAGGCGAATCACTGTCCCCCAGACATCCACTTTTATATATTTTATATTTATAAATTTTTTAAAACAAAGCGGAGAGTGTATGACATCATCCACTCACGTCGACTACCATTCATTCATCCTGTTCGCTGAACTGCTGCTAGTTTTACTCACATGCCTAGAAGATGTCTAGTGCTACTACCACAGATGATCTCGCTCTCGAAATGGAATTGAACGATTCAGATTAGCTAGCTGAATGTCACAACTCCAGTCAAGGGCGCAGATGACATTCGCCTACATGTTATGAATGCTGGGGTACCATAAAGAATAAATTATGAACAGTTTAGTTTGTGCCTTCAACTTGTTGCCCATAGGAAGATGTTACCTGGATTACAAAACCGAATATCTTCAGAACAGCTACAAATGACACAAAACTCATATGGGTGAGTAGAACATGATGTAATAACGTAAAATCAAGGGCCCAGTGTAAAAAGACCCGTGTTCCCCTTTAAAATGGCAGGACCTGAGGTGAGGTCAGGCGGGGAAAAAAAGGTTTTCATTGCTAAAGAATTGACCTTAAACTACCAAATCTGGCAGTTTTCTAAGATTTTCAAACAAAACATTACTGCTTTAACCTAGCTTTTCTTTACCAGGGTCTCTGCATTAAAGGATAGAGTCACATTTTTTAAACCTGGCAACGACAAAAAGATTTTCATGTCCTGATGTACAAATCTTTTTAATCTTTAACTCAATGGTATGAGGGAAAATAACTTTTGGATTGAGACACTTGCAGGAATTTGCATGGAAAGCCAAATTTAATTCCCTCTGTGTATGTGGAGTGTACCTCTCTGAGGGGGGTCAGGGTCCCATGCGGCCCAAAGCTGCACACTGAAGAACGGGGCCCAGCAGATGGAGTAGACCAGAACGATGACCAGGGTCATCCTGACAGTTTTTGACATGGCAGCTGTTACGTCCCTACCCCTGGGTGGTGGGCCTTTGTGAGGGTGTGTTGAGCAAACAGTAGAGGACGCTGTGGAGTCAGACTGCAGAATATCACAGACATGTTCTAAAAACTGTTTACAGAATATTAAAAATATTTAATGAATGTAAAAAAAAAAAAAAACTGAACTAAAAGTGACGTGAAGTGTCTCACCAGCACAGCAACTGTTTGTTTCACACTGTGAGGCCATGGCGCTGGATCTGAGCGCACTCATCGGGAGGGTCTGACAGACTGCAGCGTCAGAGGTGCTGTGACTCCCAGGGTTATTGACAGTAGGAGGTGAGACCTTAACCTTGATGCCAGACCTCTCTTGTCCTCCTTCTAGATCCTCACAGTCTGGTCTAGACAGAGGAGGAAACGTGGGGGACAGGCGGCGCTCGGATTTCCTGTACAGACTGTGATGAATCTCTTTGAAGATCCTCACCTGATCAAACATGACATGAGAGAGTTCCAGAGGAGATCATTCTCACATCACCCCTGCTATGGCCCACCTTTAATTACCTGACAATAAGTGATGATGAGGACAGGGATGATGAAGATGGCCATGGCCATCCATGTCACGTAGGCTTTGAGGCCCCAGGTTGGGGCAAAGTGTCCCCAACATTCATAGACCCCAGGAGCCACTTCAGAACGGGAGAAGATAAAAACCTGATGAGCAAACAAGTGAGTGGGAGCAGTTAGTTCATCAGCTGCTATCCAGATGTTAGAGCAAACATCAGGTGCAGACGTATGGACAGGCAGGCAGCAGTTAAGAGTTTCTAACACAATAATCATAACTTTCATAAATCTAACAAACACCTGATGATATTTCTTTTACTATTAGGTTTCCTTTATGCAGAGTAGCTTTGTTGGCTCTCGCCAACCCAGCCAAGGATAAAGCAGTCATTCTGTACATCATCCATAACTTTAGTTTCATTCTGGATAAAGCAGTTCTAAAAACACTTGATGTTCGAATTTATTTCTGCTCAAAACACTTAAAAACCTAAATATAAGAAGGCCGTAGTATTATCCCTTTAAGACAGAACTTGAAAACTTTAACCGAAACTATTTCCCGCTGTGGAAAACCTTTTACCTCTTGCATTATCACTAATTCCATAATTAGTGGTATGTATATCAATTCCTATAAAATCAATGTAACAGAAACAGATCTGAATTGTGAATCTCTTTTCTATTTATTTATCAGAGTCAAGAGGCACATTTGTCTCATCTTTGTCGTTTATATTTCCCTGTAGATAAAAAAACTTTACATTTTATTTCAAATTAAAATCAGATTTTAATTTCTCATTATTTAAGGCCTTGTTTCTAAATATTATAGATAAAAAAAACAATGTATATAAACAGACAATGTATATATCACCCATTGATATTGATGCTTTTACTTGAGTTTTCCAGCAACTCTACCAACTGTGAGTAATTCAAGCCAACAGAGTTCAGATCAATATACAGTAAACAGTTGGTATTGCCTGCCCTAACATGTATGATTTACCTACTAAAATTATTGTTTGTTTTTTTTAAGGTTTATTTCAATTAAACTGCATCTTGAAAAAAGTTTCTTCTGCCTAAGTTTAGTATGTTAAAACTATGTTTTTTAATGTACATTTTTTTTCTGAAACATACAGGAATTAGCACAAATTGTATTTCAGATTGTGGAAATTTTCAGACTTTGAATCCGATTTTATGATCTTTCAACTACTCTGTAGTTGAGTAAGGTTTTTTATTTATTTATTTATTTATTTATTTATTTATTTATTTATTTATTTATTTATTTATTTTTAACTTATCATATATAATCTTTTCAATGGCTTTGTTTTAACTTTTTTTTGAGTGAAAAATGTTTTAAGTTGTGTTACTCTACTTGGTTAAGATGCTTAGCAACTCTACAAACCTCTGGTCCTACCATGACAAAGATAAATATGTAGGTTTTTCTAAGCTCTACTGGAACTATCTGCTTTCTTAGCTTTTAGTCTAAATAAATTCAGAGGGCCTTTAGTTTGAAACAAATGGGTTAGAACATTCAAATTAGGGTCATTGTTATGTACAGTGGAGGATCTATGATGACGTGGGCCCACCTCCCCATCCTGGGAAAATCTTCTGAGTATATGATATCATGACTTCTTTGAAACACTGGGACAATTTAAAACAAAAACACAAAAAAGTGAAAACAGGTTGTCGCTTGAAATGATCCAGAACTTTCTGGTGAAATAGAATAACATGGTTTCAACCTTCTTTGGTGGACATCTTAGCACCAGGTACTGAAGGCATTGGAAAACAAGTGAGATGAGCTAAAGCACAGACATTAATAGAGAATATAGTGAACTGATCATCAAACAGTAAAATGTTCCTAAATAAGGAGAACATGAATTTTATTATTCTTTTCATATTGGTGTATTTTCCTTTCCCTCAACTAAATCCATCCAACCATTTTCTGTCACGTTTTATCCCAGCTGGGGTCGTGAGGGGTGCTGGTGCCTATCTCCAGCTGTCTACGGGCGAGAGGCAAGATACACCCTGGACAGGTTGGCCGTTTTTCATAGGGCAACACAGAGACAAACAGGACAAACAACCATTCACACACACACTCACACCTAAGGAGAATTAAGAGAAGCCAATTAACCTAACAGTCACATTTTTGGAGTGTGGGAGGAAGCCAGAGTACCCGGAGAGAACCCACACATGCACAGGGAGAACATGCAAACTCTGTGCAGAAATACCCCAGGCCAGGAATCGAACCCAGAACCTTTTTGCCTTGCAGCAAGAAGGTTCCGGGTTCAATTCCTGGCCCACTGAACAGCCCCCCACAAGTAAATCATTATACATTTAAATAGTGAATAAATGAGTCATTTTAATCGCATTTATGTCTCACGTTTGCTACCTGTGGCAAGCTGAGCAGCAGGGAGAGACTCCAGGCCAGAAATATGAAAGTGTTCCAACGCTTTGTTGGCCCACTGCGGTGCGCCTCCAAGGGGCAACAGATCGCATAATAGCGATCCGCAGTCATGGCTACAATCATGTAAGAGGAGGCGAACATCCCAAGAACCTGGAGGTATTTCACCAGGCGGCACAAGAAGTCCGGGCCAGGAAAGCGACCCTTTGCATCCCACACCAGCTGAGGTAGCACCTGGGTTGGAAATGGAAAGGAAACAAATAAACAAGGAAGAGCCTCTTCATTTACATGCTTACATTTGTTATTTTCTGCAAATGCATGCTGAGATAAGCCGGCTTTGTCAATATCTAGTCATCGACATTCATCAATATATTCTTATATGTTTTTTTTTAAATCAATTTAAAAAGTCTGAGTTACATCCCTCCTTATCCCCCAGATTAACATCTTCAGAAGATAACGATTTACGATATACTTTGAGATATGAAAACTGTATTTTTAAAGTTATTTTATCAGTCATTGAAGATGAAGAGAGAAAGAGAATAAAAAAATTGAGTTCAGTGGAGTTAAAAACAAAAACACATTGTCATCATAAAATCAGAAACTTGATGGGAAACATTTATTTTGGGATCAAAGGATTTCAGATGGAAACTGTCTAAATCCTTCAAACCTTTAGCTGCTATGAGGTAAAATTGTGTCAAAACATGTTGATGCTGTACTTTGAGTTGGTGTCATTCTTTATTTCTTGTCCATGGCCTGTGTCTAATGTTTTGGGAGTAGGAAGAAGGTTTCTGTCTAAGATCACTCTTGTAATTCACATTTCACACAGTTGATCATCAATAGGCTGGAAAATGGACAATCTTGTCTGGTACTGCCATAAACTGCTTCAAATCGCAGTAAATACTGCTGTGTGTGCTTTTATAATGGCACCAATACATGCTGAATAAAACGCAGTGTGACTCTTTGTTACCTGGAACAGTGCAACCACCAGGTCAGCCACACAGAGGTTCAGCATGAACTGGTGAATTGGACTTTGGTGCTGCCTCCGCTTCAGCAACACCACCAGCACCAACCCGTTCCCAGTCAGGGCCAGCAGCAGGATGACTGCCAGCACCACCACCTCCGCCACGGCCAGGAGGGGGTCCCGTTCCAGCTCCGTGATGTTTCTCACTGTTGGGGTCTCAGAGACTGCAGACCAGTCCCATGACTGGTATGTCTCTGTTACCATGGAGACTGACATTATTGCTGGGAGGGCAGATATCAATAAAAAAAATACTGAGATGTAGAGAGTCAGACAGTTGTAATAGTCCTTAAACTGAATCTCATATCATCATTAGATAACGGCCTGTGAACAAAGTTTAAACAAATGACCTCCAGCATCCAATAAAATGCAGGCAAATAAAAACGTCTTTCTTTCCCATCTCTTTGTTGCAGGATGAATGTGCTCACAGGAGCTTGACCATCTTTGCGTGTGTGTGTTTGTCTCTGGGATGTTTACAGCCTCTGCAGACGAGTTGCCAAGTTTATCATCAACAGGACAAACACGAAAAGCTGAGGCACCAGCAGCAGATGACCTGTGTATGGTCACCATCCACCAACCGCCCTGCTGCCTGTTTTTATAACCACAGGGGGACAAGGGGCCACTCCAGTCACAGTGGATCATGATTCCTGGCAGCGTCGCCCATTTTGCCCTTAGACGCCATATTTTGCTCTTAGATCCAGGAAAGACTGAGCCTTTGCATTGTTTGCTCCTAAAACTAGAACCAGGTGCTGCAGCAGGTCTGGCAGGCTCCATCTATAACGTCTCCTTCACTTTTAATCCAATGTGAGTTGGTGTCTTAATGTTTTACCCTTTGCATTTACTAGGACTATTTTAACATTAGCTCTAATGTAGATAACTTAAAAACATTTTACTCTCTTGTTTTTTTCTCTCACATTTTTTCATAAAGCACAGTGGTGCGCCTTTCTGGTGTTTTAAGTTTTTCAGAAATAAAGTGGAATGGCATGTGGAGGAAAAAAATTGCAGATATGATTTGCTCATTGTGCAAAATTATTTTATATGGGTAGATTAGTGGGAGCTGTGATGTAAAGAAGCTTCTCGCATCATTAAACACAGACTGACTGACAACCTTTAACAGCACATCTTCTTTACTTTATCAGTGTTATTCTGAATTTACTATAGTTTAGGGTTTTTTCACACATAGAAACTGAATTATAGAGTCCTGATGTTTTCTCTTTCTGCATGAAGTTTGCATGTTCTCCCTGCACTGCAAAGACAATCTAGAAATAAGTATATAATGTTTCTTTAAGTGTATTTACCCTTAATTTTAGCAGATAAATAAGATGATTTGCCAGTGGAATGAGTACGGTATTTGTATTCTTATAATAAGATAATTAGATCATATGCACTTGAAATAAGACAATGCAGTTGTTTTTTATTATTCTTATTTTACATGTAAATTGTCATGTTCCATTGGCAAATTGTCTCACTTATCTCCTCAATTCAAGGAAAAATGCACTTATTTTAAGAAAAAAAATACTTATTTAGATTTAATTTTTTGCAGTGTGTGCATGCGTGGGTTCTCTCTAGGTAATCCAGTTTCCTGCCATGATCCAAAAGCATGACTGCTAACTGGCTTCTCTATGATGTCCTTACCGGTGAGTGTGTGTGTGCATGATTGGGCGACAGACCTGTCCAGGGTGTACCCCACCTCTAGTCCATAGACTGTCAGAGATAGTATAGTTTTTAATATAGTTTTTAACCCTGACGTCAATGATAAAATGTGTTAAGTAAAGTGATTATAAAACATCTCTACTAAACATTTCATCAATACCTCTGTAATATTGTCAAACTTTGCTCTAGAATATGTATACTTTGCTGTGTCTGTATTTACCATCTTTAATCCCATCAAATCTTCTGAAATACCAGATTCTCATGTTAGAACAAATGTTTTTTTTTCTGAGCACTGATGACGGTATTGCATTACATACATGGTTTTGGTTTTATGTAAAAGACCAACAGAAATTAGAACAGTATGTCCAAAATCTTAACACATGTTTAATCTAAATAAGATTCAGACTTTGAACAAGTCATTCCAGTTGATTAATATTCTCTGATCCTCTGGCTAAACGTTTAGCCGTGAGACACCATGGTGCTACCACCATGATGTCCCACCATAAACATATTACTCTTGTCTTCTATGTGGCTTATTTCATTAACAGCAACTTTTATAGCTTTCTTTCAACAGTAGCTTTATTTGCCACTATCCCTTTAGGCTAGATTACAAACCGCATGACTTAATAGGTGTCCTGTCTACATATTTTTCCTTGTTGAGGTGTTGATCTCTGCAGCTCCTCCAGATCCCCCTCTCTAATTATTCATCGCCATACCCAAGTTTCCAGTTTAGGGGGATGTTTTGTTTTTCACCCTCAAATCATTTTCCGACTATTAGCTGAAAAAAGGGAACTGCTGTTGCTTTGTAGCATGAAGGTCCTGGTGTCAAATCCCAGAACTCAGGCATACATTCTCCCTGTTTATGCCTGAGTTCTTTTTGTATACTCCAGCTTCTGTAGTCAAAATACATGATTGTTATGTTGATTAGTGTCTCTAAAATTGGGTGGGACTGTGTAAGCATGATCGTGTGTCTCTTTCTTGCCCAGGCTGGCCATCTGTTCAGCGTATGACCCTAATTTTTTCCCAGAGACTGCTAGTTATAGGTACCAGACCTCCGTTTACCCTGATGGTTGAAGATGGATGAATTGAACAGAGCTCTATAAGCTCTAAAGCTTGGTGTTTTGTTTTAAAATCTAAACCATCTCCTGCTGTGATCCTGGTGCTTAGTACTGCAGTTTGTTCACCAATGTTCTCTAAAAAATCCTCTGAGGCCTTAGAAAAATAGACACTTTGGAAATACGCTTTTTAGACACATACACAAAAAGACATTTTTGGTTGCATTCGATTCTATTTAGATGTATTAGAGAAAAAAATGTGGCTAAATACAGATGAAGGAGAAGAATCTGGTTTTCCACCTCCCAGTTGTACACTACTTTGGCCGCCACTTAAAAAGTACAATAAACAGATTGTCTGTGGTTGTAACGGAACAAAATATTAAACATGCAAGGTGTTTGAACACTTATGAAAAGTTAAACCTCCAAAGGTAACAAAAATATCCCTCAATGCATATATATGATATAATGGCAAATAAATACAGATATGTATGTTGAATATAATACATCATTTTAGGATTGAATCATAGAAGATTTAAGAAAAAGAACAAAGCTTCCCATAACTAGTTATATAGCATAACAATATGGACACAAAGTTAATGCATTTTATGTATATCAGGATTAACTAGTCTGGGTTTTATCATTTCTTTTGTGTGATAAAAGCAGGTGGAGATAATCTAAATGTGCTGGTTGTAAAATTTTTCTTTAAAGCTCCAAAAATGCCTTGAAGAAAAAACGAGATCCAACTTTTCTATAAAAATTGTATTAAAAAAAAAAATAGAGAATCTGATTAAAATGTGTTTTTTTTTTTACAGACCTGCATCTGACCTCAGGACAACTGAGCTAATTCTGACAAAGAGACAACTGAAAGATAAAACCTCAGAGTTGGAAAAACAAAGCTGCAGGGAATCCATTGGGATCTGCAAAGTTTTGTTTTCACTCCAGGTTTGCAGAGAAACTCGGGTTTTCCAGCATGTTTTGGTTTCCCCTCTGAGCTGAGCGTTGCATGGAGGAAAACACTTTCCCAAATCATAAAAAAAACAACAACAAAAAAACACAAATATTCTCTTGTCTTTTGGACATAAATAATTAAGCACACATTCTACTCTGTGATGGGAGGCATTAACATCAGCCGTTCATATTTTCAGAGGGAGTTGTTTATATCTTTGGGCCACATTAATCTAATTAGAGGCCTGAACACCTGCTGTTTAGTGCTTTTTCTGTTTAAAACCCAAAAAGCAAAAATAAAGTCAACTGATTCTCATTATTCTCTGCTTCTGTAGTCATGCTGTATCTCACAGGTTACAATGACTGATGCACTGCCTCCCTTCTGTTAATTATAGAAATTTCATTTCTCCTCTAATAACTCCTGCAAAGTGTGGTTAAAAGTATCCACCACTTAACAGATTCTCACAGTTGTGAAATGTAAGGTTTAGACTTACTGAGCTCGTCTTCAGTGTCCCGCGAAGCGCCTGGAGGAGCCAGGACAACCTGATCTTCGGCTGCACACAAAGGCTGCATCCATGCTGTGCCTGCTGCATTCGTGCGTGCTTTCCATCCCCATTGCACTCAGACGGTGACCTGTGTCAGCTCACGCTAGCTCCTGCTCCGTTCTTCATCCCCTCCCTCCTCTTCAGCATCCCTCTCTTTGCCTCTTTTTGCATTCACCAGGGGTAAAAAAAAAGAAAAAAAGAAGAGATTCATGAGAAGCTGGAGATGCTTAGGAGGGAGCGGTGGCCCTTCAAGTGTCAGGGAACTGGTATAATTTCCAGCTCTCTGTGTAGATTAATAGTGCCCTGCTGTTGGAGCTACTTTGATCCTCATCAATGCAGAGCAGCAACACATCAAAGATCCTTCGTGCATACTAAGCTAACGTGTTTACATGTCCGCTTACATCACCTTAAAGTGAGATTAAAGGCAGACATAGTCTGATGTGACAGATTAGTGGTTCATTTTCTTGGAGAGAGGAAAGTGTTCCTCCTGTCTCTATCCCACCTCCCCTCTTTCCTCGTCTCTCCAACTGGGCTTTAATCTGTTTTCTTCCCCTCGATTGCTCCCTCATTTGGAGAAGCTTCTAATTATTGAGGTCTCCACTGAGTGCCGGAGTCAAACAGAAAGCAACAGAGGGGCTCTGTTGTTTCTGTGTGGTACTACCCGAAATACTAAACTTGAAGAGACTTCTCTGGTCTCGAGATGGTGAATATTATCAGAGTACTGAACCATAGTTCATGAACAATCTCTAACAAACTTATCAGCTTCATTTTTAACAAATGTTACCCAGAAACTGAGAGAGGTGATGAAATTATCCCATCTTCACATTTCTTTTGTTTTATTTACTGTGACAAATATCACCAAAGTTTATAGGAAATTCAGTTTTTGGATCAACGATTTCGTCTATGAAAGTAGAAAATGTATCCAAACCCACCAGGCGCTATCAAAAACATAATTGTGTCATAAAAGCTGGTGTGCCACCCTTGGCAGCAAGAGCTGTCCTCAAACAGCATGCTGGCGATAACTGGTAATGTGTTTTTTTGCATCATTGTGGGAGAATTTGGCCCCCTCCCTGTCTAACTGATTCAATTCAGCCAAATGGGAGAGTTTCAACAGGAGAAACCTGTTCATAGTGATGCCCCAGCATATGTGTGGACTTTTGCAAGGTCACTCAGATGTGGACAATAACTTGTAGCTGCAGATTTTAAGGATTTTGTCTCAACAAGCTATTCAGTCTGATTGAAGGCAGTGCATATTTTAGCTGTAATTGGTGAAGCTTGCCACAGATTCTCAATTGGAAGCATGGCTGGACTTTGAGTGGAGAATTTTTAGCACAGGAATTTTCTTTGATCCAAACCATCTTCCTTTATAATCACTTACTTGGATAGCCCTGAATTTAAAAAAGGAATTATTAATGAAACTTTGGTTTCAGTATCATTAATAGTAAGCATTTAGCTCTATTTTATCATGGTAAATGTTTAGTCCTAATTTTTCTGTTAAAGACAGCATAGATCATTCTGCAATCACCATGTTTCACCATTGGTATGGTGTGTTTAGGGCAAAGTTCATGATTGGTTTTCAGGTTTATTATTAAACATGTAAGTCGTTAAAATTGATTATGGTTTTATCTGCCTTGAGCACCTTCTTTCGCATGTTTGATGCGTCCTCTACATGGCTTGTGGAAATCTGTAATTGATCTACTTAAGTTTTCATTTATAAGTAGCATTTGGGGTTTTATTTTTTTAGTTTCTTAGTTAAAAACCAGATAAAAAAACTTATTGTTGCCCCGCTTATACATTTTTCAGCCAGAGCAGGTGCCTTCCGAGTTATTATGGACATATTTGCTGTTTCTTTGCTTAATGTTCTCTCCTCTGCAGGCTTTTTTTTGTTAGGTTTTACTGAACTCTGCCAGATAGATTTAATTCGGAGGTGTCAGCATAAGTATACAGCAGAATACCTTTGAGCTTTTGGCTTTTATATAATAAAATGTGAAAATGGTCAATTATAAATCATCTGAAGCTATTTTCAATGAATTTCTCATTAATTTTGTGACACATGGGCAAGTTTGCTGATAGAATAACCTTATATTTGTACCTCAGTGGAGGAAATTTGCATTCCTGAATTTTACACAAAAGGCAAAACAAAAATAAAGGTGAAATAATACATGTCCAAAAGCTCATGTTAACTAGAATGTGAATGGCAAAATTAAATGGAAAGGAATTGCGCTGCATAAAAGAGGAAAATATTGAATTGCTGAGATCTGTTTGTTTACTATAAGGTAAGTTAGATGCAGTGATGATTGTAGAGTGTAATAGCTGCGAGGAGGAAGGTTGTCTTTATCTCAGCAGTGCCCCAGTGTAGTTAGAGTACAAAGGGGCTGGGTGGCCTAGTTTGCTGATTACCTATTTTTTAACACACTTTCTTAGTCACAAAACTAAACTCAGCCACGAGGGGGCGCTAAAGTTTACATCAATTAATCATAAAAAGAGAAAGCAAAATTCTACCTGTTACACCATTCATCTAAGGCTACCATGTTCAGCTATTTATTAATCCTATTATATTTGTTTAATTCGGTATTTTCATTAGCTATATATCCAAAATAAAGCTACGCAACAAACTTTCTTTATGTATGGCATACCATATATTTAAAAAATATATATGTCAATAACATGGGGCAGAAAGTCGGTTCACGTGTAGACCAATTCAAGAAATTGTGTTTTTTTAAGATCTTTATCAAGTCAAAACTGAAATCGTCTTCACACTGGTAGTTGTAGTTCGTTCGTGTTTAAGACCGAGGCAATAAGATTCATGGCTGCATGATTTGGACTCCATGTCCCATAATCCTTCACGTTAGTGACGCCTCCCCGCTTCTCATCCCCCCTCCCACTCCACTGGGCCGCGAGGAAGTCGCAAGATGGCTGATGTCGCTTGGAAGTAACGTTCCCCTCCGCAACATGAAGCCGTGAGCGTGGAAGAACGCGAGGGAGGCACCATCGGGCTTTTATTTTTGTTTTCTTTTAGTTATTTTTCTTTTAGTTCGTCAAACATCCATTTCATTCCGCGTCGTGTCCGCCCTGGACTCGTTCTTCGGGAGTTGACGCGTCAAAATCACGCCGGGGACCCTGCCAGCAGCTAGCCTCCGTTAGCAAATAGAAGTACAGCTAGCCACACTGCTTAGTACTTTGCTTTTAAACAGGTATTTTAATCACCGGCGAGCCATTAAGCTGCGGCTGCTCATGTGCTGAAGTCTCCCATGCGCAGTGCACAATAAATGTGGCACAAAGAACTCGGCTGTCATTAAAAAATAACGAGTTTTGAAATCTGAACACTATGTCCGCGAACTGGCCATCCAGTCTGAGGGTTGCTAACTAATGCGCAGCACCGCATCCGTTCATGTGGACTAATCAGAGGTATTATCGTTTGATCAACATTTCACAATAATATCCAGCAGCCCGCCGCATGCCCGTTACTTGCTGTCAGGTTGATTCTGGAAGCTGGTTGAGTTGCAGCCAAATTATGGGAGCGGGAAATCTGTTGAACTTTTTCTAGTTAATAGGTAGCAACACTGGCCTTGGCTGGCATCACACCAAAAATCCATAGGGATGGACTAATCTGGGCAGCCACGAGCAAAAGTGAGAGGTTGGCTTTTGGATATTTGGGACAAATATATTTATATATTTTACAGACTCGTTACTTTTAACAGTACGCAGTGACTCCCCTCAGTAGCCGGCCTGACAGACCGGTTGTTTTTACAGTTAAGTACAGTTTGTCACTACAGCGGAGACCAGTTAGCTACCGCTAGCTACTGTCTCACCCTACAACACGTTACAAACACGGCGTACAGAACGTACTCAGAAGCCGCTCCCGGCCACACACACAGGCTCAACAACACCGTCATGGGTGTGCAGGGTTTTCAGGAGTATTTAGAGAAGCGCTGTCCTGGGGCGGCGGTCCCCGTGGACCTCCTAAAGCTCGCCCGCACCGCGGCCCGCCAGCCTCCTCACCATCATCACCCTCACCACCACCCACATCACCCCGGGCCCATGCCTCCCCCGCCCCCGCCTGCCAGGATCCTGATCGACGCTGACTCCAGCCTGCAGCGCCTGTACGGCGGCTACCAAACGGACTGGGTTTGCGGAGGCGAGTGGAACGCCATGCTGGGCTACCTGGCCGCCCTGTCACAGGCCTGTCTGTACCAGGGTGGCCTGGAGCTCGTCGTGGTTTTCAACGGCACTCTGGGGAAGGAGCGCTGGCCCGAGTGGGCGCGGCGAGCTCAGGGCCAGCGACAGACGGCGCAGCTGATAGTCAACCACGTCGGCAGCAAGGCCACCCCGCCTCCCCGGGCATGGTTCCTGCCCCCGGCTTGCCTCAGCCACTGCGTCCGCCTCGCCATGTTCCGCTTCCGAGTGCGGGTAAGAACAGCGATTATGGTTCATTGAGCTGGTTTTCTCTGTGGTGATGTGGCTTTATGTTGATTTTGCACTTGCCTTTTGTGACCTATGGCGTTGAAAGGTGAACCAGAGTCGATCTGAACCATCTTTTTTTAGTACTGAGGAGAAATCTGCTAAATGTGTTTAAAAGAAAGTTCATGCAAAGCCATCAGTCCATAAATCCACATTAAGCACGTTAAAACAGTTTAACCTAACATTACTCACTAACCCAGTCACAGTAGTAACTAGTATGTACACAGACCAAGCTTTATCCTGTTCAATTCCTGGTTTTCTTTGAGGCGGAACCAATTTTTTTTGTCTTGTTACACATAAGAGGTATTGCAATTGCTTGGCAGTTGGATTTTTAAACCTTAAGGGGAAAAAAACTTAAAATTACCTTCTCCATTCAGTCATTGCACACACCCTGAGCAACCATTTTTTACATCAGATTCTAATACATTAATAAAAGGGATTGAATGCATGCTGTTGGTTGATGTTTATAGACCAAAAATGAGACTTAAAATGTGTTTTCTAAATTAGAAAAAATGTTTTTAGTCGCCAATCAAGTGTAGATATAAATATCTGCATTTTAAATATTAGTAGTGTAATTAAAACATTATTGTGCATGATGTATTTTTTGTCTGTTGTATATGTAATGTATCAGGATGGGCTTTTTTAAAATTAAAATTTTGCTGTTTTTTTTTTATTCCATTTTCTCTTCATGTCACACCTAAACCATTTTCAAGAAAAACAAATTCTGTTTGATTTCTACAGGTAGTTAAGAATATTTCAGAATTTTCAAAACAAACAAAAAGAAATTTCCTTTATTTTTTTTTTTTGTTTTGTTAATCTGTTATTAATACTATTTTAAGAGAGTTTATAATATAATCATTCTCTATATTCATCAATGATACATTTGATCCCTGTTTGGGAGTGTGTTATATATTAAAACATCAGAGTACTACACCTAAATAAACTAAGAAGATTGCAAGAGAAATCTAGCTGGTAGATATCGATTATTTTAGATGCCCAGTAAAGTTTTCTGACAGCTAACTGAATATATTATGGACGATATTTGGTACAAAATGTCTTGTGGAAAGAAAGCTTTCTTTCCTATCCAACTACAAATGTTAAGATTATGAAGGGGTGAAATGATAGAAAGCCATTTGGGCTAAAAAGTAAAAAAATAAAAAAGTTAAACAGAAATAATTAAAGTTTAAATGTTGTAAAGTGGCAATTGGGTACTTTTTTTTCTTTAACTTATCTCCGCTAGCAAGATATTTTATTTATTTTTATGTGGCCTATTCAAAAAATAAAACAATGTTATTGTTTTTTTCCTTAAGAAAATATTGCATTAGCAAGTAATGGGTTTTCAATTTCTTTTTTAGCAAAGTAGTTATTCCAGTTGTGCAAACTGCTAGCACGTTATTTTTCCAGAGTTACAATTAGGGCTGTGCAATAAATAAATATTTATTACAGTTGGCAACTGATTATTATCAATAGAAAATATATCTCTTAAAGTTTTAAAGAATTGCACTGAACACTAATCCAGAACCACATGGTGTTCTGTGGAATATAAGGAAGAGGATTAAGACAACATCTCATTATCAAACTAAGCAAGGTTGCTTAGCAGGGCTGAACTATGTTAAAGTTACATTTAAATAGGTATGGTTACAATTTTAATTCAGGGCTTTGGTTGGGCCTTTGAAATGGTAAACAAAACACTAATCAAGTTTTATTAATATCTTCTGATATGTATCTTGATACATTTTTCTGCCATATTGCTCAGCCCTTGTCACCTTAACTAGTTTTGTTCTTCCTGTTAATCTCTGCAGCTTAATGCTTTTATGTGTAATCCATTTCAGTGGATTTATGTTGTCTCAATTCAAAAGTCTTTTTTTTTTTTTTGTTTTATAAATTAACTTATTCACATTTTGAAAATAAAAACAGGTCTAATTCATCCTTAATAATTTTCATTCAGTTCAGTTTAATTAATAATTCACCTTTGACCTGCTAATTCTAACTAGAAGGCATCCTAATTCATTTGTATTTAGTTCTATGAAGCTGGTCACTAAATGTAACAGAAATTAGCTGCAGGTTTCTTGAATTAACTTGTAGTTTAGTGGAAATTCAAAATTAGTCTTATTGATGTTTGAAAGACTGTAGACAACCCTTTGAGTCAATAAACATACCTAGATGATGTGTTTGCAAACTTAAAAAGGGGAAAGGCTTTATTCTTTTAATATTAGGTTTTGGCCTGCTGAGCAGAGCCTGTCATGGGGAAATTGGTCACCTGATATGTGCATTGTTGAATTCAAATTAAGATTATTTGTACATACTTGTACACTAATCATTAACAATAATTAATGATGTAATAGCAAATCTTGTTAAGGTTATCAATGTACAACTCACTGCAGACGGCACACATTTTCTATTTAGGGAAGACCCAGCTGATTGCATTGAGTCACTGACTGCGGCAAACATGAAGCAACATTTGAGAGGAGTGATAACATCTTGTCATCTGTAGGAAAAGAACATCTAGTTATTGACAGCAGTAGCTCGGCTGATGGCTTCCTCCAGAATGGTGTCACAGCTTTACAGGGCGCTACCCAGATGTAGCTTTCTATGGAGACAGTGAGAAGAACAGAAAACGAAAAAAAAATGAGCAGAAATAACAGCAGATAATATAGCAGAGTGAGGGAAAGTGGCATTTTGCCATCCAGCAGCTTTAGTAAATATCAGCATAACTACGGAGAAATTTTAGGATGACCTAAACTACAGCGTGTGGAACAATCGGGTTTCTGATAATTCAGATTTTTTCTTTCTCACATTTAAATGCCAGCATCTTAAGTTTAAAATTTTAAATTAAAGAACGATAAAGTTAAATAAAACCATTAACATATTCTACAAATATTTGAAGAAAGATTTAAAAGCCCAGTTTGCCTAATTTATCTATTCTGCCTCCTTAGGTTGTACAAACGTTGGAGGACCACCACCAGGAGGTGCTGTCTCTCTACAGGGACTACGGATTTTCTGGCCTGATTGCTCAGGACTCTGAGTTTGCCCTCTGCAACGTTCCCGCCTACTTTTCCTCACATGCGCTTAAACTGAGCTGGAACGGAAAGAACCTGACCACACACCAGTACCTGCTGTCTGAGGCTGCCAGGCAGCTCGGACTGAAGACACACCACCTGCCACTGTTTGCTGCTCTGCTGGGTGAGGAGATGCACTCTCTGACATCCTTACCTGGATAGATTTATCACCTGATTGTAGGTAGTGGTAGTAAAGGAGGTTTATATGCCTTTAACTGACCTGTTTCTTTCTTCTAGGAAATCATATTCTGCCTGATGAGGATCTGGCTGCCTTCCACTGGAGTCTGCTGGGACCAGAACACCCACTTGCTTCACTCAAGGTACTGAGAACCGCTGCTTCTAGAGTCCACTGCTTGCATACAGGGTGTGTGTGTGTGTGTGTGTGTGTGTGTGTGTGTGTGTGTATATATGTGCATATATATATATATATGTGTATATGGGGAATAAACCTGCTAAGCAAGAAGTCCAGCAACTAGTTAACACTGGACTGTTTCTGATTGTAACTGAGCTTCTGTTGCCTTACTTTCTAGCCCTCCTGGTGCGGCCATTACTTATTTATATTGGGAGCAGAGGCCGCATCATGCTGCTCAGGATTTTAATATTTTAAACCAAAGATAACATTATGGCATTATTCTTTTCTTTATCTAGTCTAGCATTTCATACTAGCAAGTAGAGAGGTTAGCACTGGAGAAAAGAGAAAGGATTGCAGATCCTTACTTAATTTTGAGGGGTGTTTTTTTTCTAAGCCTTTTTAAATTTCTATAGCTGTGTTTGACATTATTCATCTAGTCGCTCAATTTTTTACTATGAAAATAAAGTCTCTAAATGGATTCACTGCAATTGATTCCATAAACATTGATGATTGTATTATTTGAGTTGGTTTTTCGGTCACATTGGGATTCTTATATTTCACATGGCTGTTCTCTGTTCATTCTTCCTGTTATCAGCTGATGTTCTTGCTCTTTTTCATCTGAATAAACTCCAGAAACATCTTAATTTCTTGCTCCCTTTAAATCCCTTTTCTTCACTTACTTAAACATGCATAAATATTCAGAATGAGCTTTTCTTCCCTCTGTCACAGGGCGCACACTAAAAGGTGTATTGTTACTTGTCCTGTAGCTCTAAGATGAGGTGCTCTTTGAACGTTCTAGTGATGCTGCTTTACGGCTCCTTATAGCTTGATAGCTTATTCTGCTGCAGCGTAGATAATCCTTTGAGTTAGACAGGGTGAAAGCATTTCTGTTGAGCTGAATGTGTACGTCGACTTTTCTCTGGCCTCGTTCATGTTTTGTTTAACACTCCTGCCATTTTGATAAATGGCACTGCTACATGGTTTTATGCAAAACTAACACGTGTGAATGAATGAAACATGAATGAAGCTCATTTGAATGTTACAATTTAGATTTTAATTTAGTCAGTTGTTAAATAAACTCATACTTCTATTGCTTCTAATGTTTTTTCATTCCATTATTTTTAAATGGTGTCCTGATTATAAAGAGAAAAATATCTCTGCAGATGCACTATAAGCACATATTGGACTAACGTAGTTCCTCTGTCGGTGTGAACGCTCTGCTGGTGTTTCAGGTGCGAGCCCATCAGTTGGTGCTGCCGCCCTGTGAGGTGGTGATCAAAGCCGTCTCTGAATACGTCTCCTCCATCAAAGACCTGGGAAACCTCGACTCCATCGCTAGAGATGTCTTCAAACAGTCACAGGTAAGCCGGAGCCACTGGAGGCTGGGGTGTGAACATAGCAGAGTGGGTTTACATACCTTTGCATGACAAGTATTTATACTGAATTAACTGATTAAGCTTATATTTGATCACTTAAAAAACAAAACTAGGTCAGCATATTCACTTGTTCATACACCACATGTATAGCCTAACAATTAGAGAAGCAATTCCCATGCTTTAAAGGATTACTCCACAGTTTAATCACCACAGGTTGTTGGTGGTGAGAATCAGCTAGAATGACCTATAAAGTGTTTGAATGTCATGTGACTCCTCCATGACACTTTCATTGACTTATCGGGGATTTCCACAGGCCACGGTTCGGAGATCAGTAGTGTCTTTTTCCGCTGCACCGCACGGCGTGATTAAAGTCTTTATTGGAAGATCTGCTAATTCAGTGTGAATCAGCAGCAAGGTTTGGCAAAAAAAAGTTAATATGCTGGTTTATAAAGATGTTTGCTTTGATAATCATCATTTGTATCGGATTTTAAAGGAAAACTGGACAGGTGAACAGACTGAACAATGTTTACAGGTTTTATGTGGGTTTGGTTTTATGGTGAGTATTGAGGTCTTAAATTTGTTGGATTACACATTATTTTTTAATTGTACAATCAGTAAACCTAGACTACAGGTGCAACTCCTGCATGAATAAAAGTAAAAATCACAGGTAGAAATGCTGGTAGAGAATCAGTTCTCCTTCAGAAGAGCTCTCCTACATCCTCCACCCTCCAGTTGACAGTCATCTCTGTAGTCTGAGCTTCTTGTAGTAACAAGAATTGTTTGTTTAAACATTAAGGTGTTGGTAGCGTCTATTGTCTAGAACCCAGCAGGTTTTTATTAGGCTGCATGGTTGCTGTTAGCTAGAGAGCTGGCTGTGTATTGAGAGCAGGTTTAGTGCTAAGAGGCGGTGGTTGGTTATTGAGGGGTAACTTCAGCCATGTTAAAGAAACGGGGCAGACTAGTTCACGCTGGTGAACGAGAGACCTGTCATCAAGAGGCTCAATTAGCCAAGATATAGGACTATTTTTAACTCACAGACAGAGCTCTGTGGTCATTTTGCCCCTTTTTGCTGCAGCTGACCTGTGATTTTCAGTTTCTCACAAACATTTTGTATGTCACAGCAATTAAATAAATGCATGTATGAAATTGACAATCATTTAAAAATGGTTAAATAATTTATAGTCACCTGCCACTTTGTTAGGTACAGTTGCTTGTTTGTAGTTCTAAATGGGGTTTTGTTCTGTTTTTTGCCAATGGCATGCGTAAAAGGTCTGTGTACTGTTACTTCAGGTAACGATTCAATTACCATAATAGTTTCAGTAACTGATTGATCTGATTAATCCTTTGAGACATTTAGCGAACCAGCTTCTGTTGCGTTTAAAGGATATTAACTGAACAACTGAGCTGTTCTGAGTCAGAACAATGTGAGTAAAATGCATGTAGACAAAGAGACCAAGATTGGACATTTCTCCGCAGATATTTATAACTAGATAAATCCCAGTTTTGTTCATGTAAAGCTAATCAGGAAGTGCTATTTAAAAGAAACAACACTATTTAGCTTAAGTCCTAAATTGTGCAGTTTTATGATATGTATGTGTCTATTTTTACGATTCTTTAGGACAATGATGTAAGATAAGGCTGTGCATTTAGAAAGTTAATGCTGTCCGAATCATTTGGAATTGAAAAAGACTGAATGGTTTAAAACGTAGATCCATTGTTCATATAAGACCTTGAAAGATGACAAATGAGGGTGAAGTTTTATTTTCTGGAGCTCTTCAGCTGGTTTCTGTGCCTGAATGCTGCAGCTGTCATCTTCTCTGTTCTGTTTTCAGTCACGAATGGAAGACAAAGTGGAGCGCTTCAAGAAAGCTGTGGATTACTTCTCAGCTGCATCTAAACCACGCTCACCCAACATGGGGCCCTCCCCTTTCATCTGTGAGTGATCAGCTGTTTAACCATTGCGACGGGATGTTTTTTGTATGAACCATCTGAATTCTAATTTCTGCATGTAATTATCCTTATATCATTGCCTCTTTGTGCTCAGTACCTGGGTTTGGACCCATTCCATTTGGGGGACCACCTGGCCACATGGGACCGATCCCACTTGGAAAGAATCAGGTAGGTTGATGCCTCTTTCCTGATGAGTGTCCGTCCTATATATCAGTGCTCGATGTCAACCATTGCCCTATCGCCTGGGGCAAGTAGTTTTTATTGTCAGGAGAGAACAAATTTCATTGCATTTGCCTGCCGGGCAATGATGGCAAAAAAAATTATTTATCACTCAAAATTACTTTAAAATCACCGAAATTCACTGAAAATGACCCACAAGCTTTGTCGGCGCCATTTTTGTTGTTTTGTACACATTCTCGCGTGATTTGAAAAGCCATGTGATTTTTCCGCTAGATGGCGTGATTTTTCTCTCCTTGGGGAGAGAATTCTGCAGAGCAGCAGCTGGATGATGAATTTAATCTATACTATAATACACGCTAGATTAAAAATGATCAGTCAGGGATTATGAAAATAATAATAATAATTGTATGCGCACAGTGTAATTATTTCTATCATATGGCAGTCTTCTGTACAGTGGTCATACATAAAAAAATGTTCATTACCTTTTTTTCTCTTAGACATTGGAGTGGTGCATTTAACCTGTCAAGTTGTTTTTAGATTTTTAACTTTACAATTTATATTTTTCCAAGCACACAACAGCTTAAAGCAAAGTTTAGTTTAAAAAGAATGTGCAGGAAGGATTGAAAAGCATGTTAACACGGTAATGTAGGCTTGAGTTCACTATCTGATGCATGCATATACACACCAGGAACCTGTAAACTTACTGAATTACAAAAAAACATTTAGAAAAAAAAACATGTTTCATTGATATATATACAAAAATGAATATTAGGAACTATATTTATCAAACATTACATTATTAAAGTTACATTACATTATCAAACATTTACTTGCCCATACTGGGCAAGTAAAAATTGTTTCTGGGCAAATGAAATGGGAAAGCCACTTCCCTGAAACGTCAACCCCGTATATACTTATTTATTTTGTTGTCACGTTTTTAATTTCTTTTTGTTGCTGTAAGTAGGCCCTAATTTGTTTCTTCTGGCCTTTTCCAGTTTCCTCCGCCGCAGGGCCCAGGGTTTAAGCCACCGTATCAGAACGCTCCATACGGACCTCCCTCTGCACCCCTCTTTCACCCACCTCAGCAGCCGGCCCAAGACTGCAACGACTCACTGACAGGCAAGATGGGCTTCGCCGATTGGTCGGCCCCGTACGATTCCACACAGGGTGGAAATCGGCTGCCCAACCATCACACCAGCACTCAGTCTGGTCCCTCCCCCTCTCCTTCCTCATCATCAGATGGAGATGAACCCAATGACAGTAACGCTAAGTAAATATGCCTTTACTTGTTTCACAAGCAGCCAAACCAATACTTTGATGTTTCTTTGAAAAGTGGTAATATAAATTAAGTTTAAGAGATGTTTTTCAGTCTCTATGTTGAATGAAATGTTCTTGCACTAAAAACAAAACAAAAAAAAAAAACTTCTGCAGGTGTTTAATTCAAACACTGCTGTGCTCTTTTGTCTTTATAGTCATCTGACAGACAAGTCCTCTCGGTGGGAGGACCCGGCCGGCAGAGGGGCCCCGGCTTCTGGAGACGGTTCTCAAGGCAACGGGAGCGGGTCGAACATTCCGTCACTGTTGTCGATGGCGACGCGGAGTCACATGGACATAACCACACCCCCACTGCCTCAGGTGAGAGAAAGAAATCCAGCTGACCTTAGTGGGTGTTGAGCTTTTGAATCGCCGCCAAACCCGCCCGCTGAGCGCTCTGGTTTTAGAGAATCCGCTTTTTCAGCTCCTCTGTTGCTTCTTGCTTCAGGTCAGTGCTGAGGTTCTTCGTGTAGCCGAACACAGACACAGAAGAGGGCTGATGTACCCCCAGATTTACCACATTTTGACCAAGGTAAATACTATAATGAATGTGTAAGCATGTTCCAAAGATAAGCTGATTTGTTTTTAACCCCTGAAAGTCTTTGAGAGCAGAAACAAGACACTGTATTTGGTTTCATCTTTTGATCACAGCTTATCAGTGTACCCTCCTCTTTGCAATCTTCACAGAAAATGTTTATATTCTTCTCCCCTTTTTTTTCCTTCCAAAGTCTCACATATTTTTTAAGTTGTGGCTGTGAGGCAGAGGCCACAAACCTTTCAGGAGACAAGTTAATTGTGAAAGGAAAGCTTAAGCGAACAACCATCCAAGGACTGCTTTTTGTAAGATGCTGAGCAGCCCTGATGCTCTCTGATCTAAGTTAAAGCTCTTGGTTATGTCCATTTTAGCGTTGCACAAAAGTTGGATGAAATGCTATTAAAAGTACATCTTATATGCTTGCAAGTGGATGCATTTTAAAGTACAGGCCTTCTAGTTTCTGGTTTTAAATGGCTCAAACACTGACTGTTACAAAGCCTAAACCACAGAGATTCAATCATGTTAAGTTTTCTTTTTAAATTCTTCTCTCATAAAAAAAAGTCTTGTAGATGTCGCTGTCTTTGCATGCCTGTGTAATGTAGTGCAGTTGTTTCTGTCGTTGAAAACATGCAAAACTTTACATAAAAAAATATGGTATGCTGCTGCTGTAGGTGTATCTGTTACATCTATTTTACCGTTTATTAGACCATAAAAAACACAAATGTATTTTTAAGGATAACTATTTTTTTCTTTTTATGAAAGTGACAAAAGAAAGTATCTAATAACCCACAATGTGAGCCAATATCTCTCAGTAAAGCAGCATAGGCCAGTGAGGAGAGTCCTATCCATTGTTTTCAAATTTTTCTCATAGGCTCTCACCTAATGGCAATGATTTTCAAAACCATAGCTGTGTCAGAATGTATGTATTGGGAGAAGAGAAAGTGGGCATACAGGACGACTAGTTTAACTGGTAAAATCTAATTTTGTTGTGATGAAAAGCTACTACAGAGCTGAAAACAAATACACCCAACATAACAAGAAGTAACCTGGAAATTGTATATTTTGTCAGAAAAGGCTTATCTCCACTGAGGAGGTTATGTATTCATCCATTGTTTGTTTCCTAGCAGGATTACTTGAAAAGTTCTGAATGGATATTAAGGAATTTTTTTACCTGAGGTATGCCTCATGCCAAAGAACAATTCATTAAAATTTGGTCATGATCCAGTTATCTGTGAGTTTAAGCTATAGGTGGGTGTATCGGGCCAAATTTGCTGCTTGGTGGAGTTCTGCGCTCTGAGTGCTTCTCTAGTTTCCGATGGTTTGACTGGGGGAAAAAAACAGTTTTTGAAGGATAACGCCCCTCATGAGTAGTTACTTTATGGAAGATGCATTTTTTTTGTTTTGTTTTGTGGATTATTACAGACAAAAGAAGCCTGTCTATGCCTGATACTGACGACCATGGTTCATTTGTGAAGCCAACTTCTGTGATGGCGGCATTATTTGACCGGAATGATGGTTTTCTTGAACTGATTTTTGGATTTGCTCATCCCTCAGGGAGAGATGAAGATGCCAGTGTGTATAGAGGACGAGTGTAACTCCGAGCTGCCTCCTGCCTCCCTGCTGTTCCGAGCTGCCAGACAGTACGCGTACGGCGTCCTTTTTAGTCTGGCTGAAACGCACCGCCGCCTGGAGAGACTCGCCCTCCGCAAGAGGACTCCCCTAGAAGGTGGGTCCTGTGATTGGGATCCATGTTAACCCTCCAACTCTAATGATGTTGTTAGAGTCTCATCTTTCTTGTTGAGATCATTGCCTGCACAGGTTTATTTAAATTCCCCTGTCTAACATCTGAACTTTTACTAATATTTCTCTCTTCCCTCAGTTTTCCATGATGTTGTGATCAGTAGACTTGTTCCTAAATATCTTAGAAATATAATTTACCTGCCATTAATAAGAACAGCACCCACTCCTTGCTTTTCTTTAGCATGTTGTGTAAAAAAAAAAATGTAAATCCCTTTATTGCCTCACAATGGGGAAATTTGTTCTCTGCATTAAACCCATCCCCTTGGGGAGCAGTGGGCTGCCTTTGTGTGACACCCAGGGAGCAACCAGGGTTAAGGTCCTTACTCAGGAACCCAAAGTGGAGGCTGTGGGGATCCAACTGGGTGTTTGTAACCTTCTCAGAGCACAAGTGCACTGCTCAAGCCACTAGGTCATCACTGCCCTAGAAATCCCTAAAGCCTGAACCTCGTCCTTTACAAGAGGCTTTTGATCTTAAAATGAGATTTCTTCTTCTTCTATCAATGCTCCGTCTCTTCTCTGTGTGTTCCAGTTCCTCCAGTGATCGTCAAAGAGTGGAGCAGCGGCAAGGCCAAGTCAGCCCTGACGCCGGAGCTGGTTCCAGCTCTGTGTTTCAGAGAGTGGACCTGCCCGAACCTGCGCCGGCTCTGGCTGGGCCGTGCCAGCGAGGACCGCTCAAGGAGAACCAGAGCCTTTCTGGCGTGTCTGCGCTCCGACTGCCCGGCACTTCTAAACCCAGCACAAGTGCCCCAACACCTGCTGCTCATGTGCTGCGTGCTCAGGTAACAGCCCTCGCTTGGTGGAGTGTTCTACCACACGCCAGAAACCTGTTCAGGGCATAAAATTTTCCAAGGATCAGTTTGAAAATATTTGTTTTATTTCTGGTATCGGCCAAAAAGAAGTAGGATTTCTATGAAACTAGAAAATTCCCTGTGTTTGTCAGACCCAAAACTCTCTTGATTAATACAATTTTAATATTATTAAAAGTCTACCCGAATAAGGAAGTTTATTTTTACCGAGGGAAAAACGAGTCTTTAAAATAAAAAGGCAAATTCCATAAAAGCATTTAAGACTATAAAGGTAGATCTCAGGTCGAGGGGTCCAGACTTCTGGAGTCTTGGGCCATATTTAGAAACTTCTCTCGCCTCCCCTGTGCATCATCTGTGCATGATGCACAGACAGCTAGACCTGATCTCAGGACCTCAGGGAGATCCTAAGGATGTAAAACTCCTTCTATGTAAGACAACGCTGGTCTATTTAATGCTCCAAGTCAAAAGTAATGGCAGTTAATTTGTTCCTTCAAGTAAATGAAACAGCAGCAGATCTGCTTTCTTCCTATCAAGACTCTTTACTCTGTTAACCCTAAAAACATGTGTTTTTGTATTTAAGCTCATTATGAATCCAGCTGTTCTGTTTAAGCCTCAAAGGTTCATTAGAAAATAAGAAAATAGCATCACCAAGACCAAGGACCAAATCAGAAGGCTCAAGGAGAAATTTGCGATGAAGTTAATTACATGACCCAACTGATGAACTCAAAATGGAGATCATAGAAACAGTTTTGTCTAAATAAATTGATAAGTTGCGCAAAGAGAGTAATCAGAGGCAGGCAGGTCTGCGGTCCTTAGGTGGGTGAATCTGTCAGCAGCATAATTATTGGTGACATTCACAATTGTGGGATTTATTTAAACACCTTTTGAACGAAGGCCGGAAAGATTTATTTTTCATAAACAATGTAGGGACCCACCCCCACATTCTGCTGATTGGGACATCACCAACAATACCAGTTCATCTGTTCCCTAATCCAGCGGTAGTTTTGTCCTTCTGCTCTTTGATCTCAGTTCTGTGTTCTTCTCCTCTCAGGTATATGATGCAGTGGCCTGGTGGACGGATCCTTCAGAGACACGAGCTCGATGCCTTCCTGGCCCAAGCTGTTTCCAGCCAGCTCTATGAGCCCGACCAGCTGCAGGAGCTCAAGGTGGGGAGTCGCGTCAGATTGCAACCCTGTTCTGCACCATCCATCCCATCTGCAGTTCTGTTGTTTGAAGCAAATCCTTTATGAAAAATACAAGTAACCTGTTCACATGGAAACTTGTTTAAAATGAACAGTTTCTAAAGTTTCATTGCTGGAATATTCAGTAAAGCTTTCTTCATTTTTCAGTGATTGTTCATGTTGAAGTACATGCCTTAGTTTCTGAAACGTACCATGCTTTTACAGCTGCATGCCTCAATTCCTCGTACGTCTGAGCCGCTTTCTTTTGTCTCCAGTTTGAAAAAGGCGCCTTTTTGGTTGTGTGTGTCTGTCGTCTGTCAGGTGGAGAAGGTGGACGCCCGCGGCGTGCAGCTGGCTGCTCTCTTTATGGCTGGCGTTGACACGGCGCTATTCATCAATGATGTCTGCGGCCAGCCGTTGCCATGGGAACACTGCTGCCCCTGGGGCTTCTTCGACGGCAAGCTGTTCCAGAGCAAACTGGCCCGGGCCGCCCGCGACCGTGCCGCCCTGCTGGACATGTGCGAGGGGCAGGTATGAGGCAGAAGCAGCTACTTGTTACAGCAGATGGTAAAACTGACGTGGTGAGAAATAAATGTTGAATAAAACACACTGGAAGTTTGAAGGGGTCACCGCAGGAAATCTATTTATAGCTTTAGTCTGAGGCCCAGTTTCCCCACAGATGGTAGGCAGAGCAATAATACAGCTTCATAATGTCATAAATTGTTTTTGGACCGGTCGTTTTTCCTTAGTTTTTGAATTTTGCTCTGCAAAGCTTATTTAAAACCCCCCAGAGAAGGCACCGGAGAATGAGCTGAGATCTGTAGAAATAAAGCAAATACGGGGAAAAAGAAAGGGGATCTAACTTCATATTTTTCCGTGTCGCAGGAGGAGTTGGTGTCGAAGGTTGAGAAGATGCGCCAGGCGATCCTCGAGGGCATCAACCTCTCTCGTCCTCCTCCCCCTCCACCTCCTCTTCCACCTCCTGCCTTCCTGCCCCCTGCCATGGTGCCCCCTTTCTACCCAATGCCTCTCTACCCACCTCGCCCCATGGGTGGCATGCCCCCACATCACCCGCATCATCCACATCACCCCGGCCAGCACAGACCCAGAGCTTTCCCAGGTATTCAGCTCCAGGCAGTTTGAACACTTTGTGTGAAAAGGAAAAATGAAACTACTTGATGTAAGATGATGAATAAACCTGAACATTTTATTCATCATCTTACATCAAGTAGTTTCATAAATTTTTATAATTGCTGTAAAGCTAAAAGCTGGGCAATAACTTTATATATCAAGGTATTTTTATTGAGTTACAATGATTTGAAATTTAATTACAGTATTTCAGTATAGACCAGTGTCAGGGATTATGGTGTTTGTCACTGGCTGACATTCAGGGGTTTATGTAATTTTAAGGTTTTGTTTTTTTTTAAAGCAAATATTTCATAAATGTTATTTTTGGAGGAGTTTGATAAACTTGGCAAAACAAATGTCACAGATTTGTACTGGTGCACGTTTGTTGTGAGTATTCTTGGCAGTCGTTCTGAGGCTTTTATTTTGTGTATTTTGATGTGTGGGTCGTAATGAATCGGTGATTAGTCCACTTTTTTGTGTTATACTGGCAGAGGATGAAAAAATGACATAAGTTTGACTGTTTTGTATCAAAAGGTGACTAAGATAAGAAACTAAGAAGTAACCTTTTACAGTGTGAGGAACCAGGGCAGTAAAAATTTAACAAAAGCTTATTTCAGATCGGACGAAGTGACAATAAGAGATCAAGAAGCATTAACAACTTCTGGAAAAGCTGATATCCTTCAAGTAGCTTGTTTAGATAATTATTATTTGCCATTTTATTTTCCTCTAACAGTAATGGAGTGCTGATGTTGTTTACCTTTGAAATGAAAGGATAGTTTTTGCACTAATTTAGAAAAATTACCCCAGGTATAAAAAAAGTTTAATCTTTGACCATGTTTTTTTTGTTTTGCTTTAAATCTTTATAAAATGTAATAACATCATGATGAATCTTAATAAATTCTTTATATTTCCATTACCCTTAGAAAAATATTATATATCCTAACTTATATACCGGTAAAAAAAAAAAATGAAATTAATAAAAGCTGTGTAGTTGATAGTTTTGTTCTGTGTGAGGTTTGTGTTATTGGGCAGGTCTGACTCTAATGAGCTTTTTCCTCTCTCCCTCCCTCCCTCCCTCCCTCCCTCCCTCCAGGCATTCAATCCATTCCCCCTCAGGGAGGAAAACTGGAGATAGCTGGCATGGTGGTCGGCCAGTGGGCTGGAAACAAGCCTCTCCGTGGCAGAGGGGGTTTTAACATGCAGGTGGTCTCAGTGGGAGCAGGAAAAGGGTGAGTAAAGTCAAGATTAACACTCACAGCCAAAATCTGACTGCACACCTGTAATATTAGAAGACAAAGAATCTCAGATGTCATTTGGAAGTAGACAGTATACAAAGAAACGTGTAGTTTTAAGGAAACTGGTCATGGTTGGTGGAATGATCCACATTTTTATTTGTAGATGATCTTATTTCCTTTGTAAGAGAAATTTGAAGACATGTTAAACAGAGGCATGGTGTATTTTACTGATATCTGACAGATCAACATGTTTTGATGGCCTTTTTTAAGCCTTTGCTGATTTGTTTTCGTTTTACACGTGAGAACTTACAAAATCAAACTTCAAACTTACGCTCACAAGATAAGATACTTTAAAGAAAGGCAGGCCTCATCGTTTGGTTTTCCCAACTGCAATGAAATTTAACGTTCCTCTAAAAAAACAGTGAAATAGTCCTTTTCAGAAACCGTGAATCACATCCAGTGTTGCATCTCCCGGCCAAAAAGTTTAAAGTTCTACTAATATCAATGTTTTATTGAACATTGAATGGCAGTGGACGAATAAACTAGGGCTGCAACTAACGATTATTTTAAAAATCGATGAGTCGGCCGATTATTTTTTCGATTAATCGATGAACCTGATAAAAAATATTTTTTATACTAACCTCTTTATTCCAAAATAAATATTTTAGACAGAACAAACAAGCACACAAGTACAGGTTGCTCATTAACTGTACTGGTGCAATATGAAAAATAAATGTTTGTGTTAAAACTACGCAAACTTACATGAGAAATGTAGCTGTACATCCACAAAATATAGGGTACTTAGTTTCATAAAGTGCAAAAGCCTCTAAGGGGTTCAAAAAATATGTCCCCCCATTTCAACAAATGAGGTTTTTTAGACTAGAAG